CCCAACATAGGCCCAAGATAGCCAACATATCCCCAACATATGCCCAACATAGCCTCCAAGATGGCTCAACATAGGGCCAACATAGGCCAACTTGGGGCCAACAGACGCCAACATAGGCCCAACATGGCCCAACCCAGGCCAACATAGGCCTAACATAGGCCAACATAGGCCCAACATAGGCTCAACATGGGCCCACGATGTGCTCAACATACACCACATGGGCCCCACTTGGCCCAACCTAGGGCCAAGATGCGCACCAGATAGCTTAACTTTGCTCAATATAGGCCCCACCAAGGCCAACATAGGCGTGACATACGCCCCACACACCCAAGTGGGCCGGCGCCCGGCTGTTAGGCGTAAGCCTTGAAATAATACATTGGTCTCTGCTGCCAGAGGTCATATATACAACGTAACATGCTAGTCTAGCATAGTATATAGTATATATATATATAATCTACATATATAATCAGGATCGGTCCAGTTGAATCCAATGGAATGCCTTTCAAAAGGACAAAAATGCAGCCAGCGAGTCTGAGGCTTAAGTGAACCCAAAAATCCCAAACTACCGAGCAATGTCTTTCCCTAAAGGCTTTCCCTCTGAGTGTCGCAGGCAGTTGAGATCTGCTGGAAGTTTCTCAATCAGCTCCCGGAATGAAGCATCCTGAGCTGTGAGTGTGAGAGAGGGAGAGAGCGATTTCTGCTCCAACATCAGCCAAATGCTATCTTTGAGTGATCCACCATACAAGTAAGCAAAGCTCCAAACAAGCGTCCGTTGTGATGACACGCTGGTAGAACTCGGCCAGCCACCACAAATGTGTCCGAGGACCCTCTGCCTAGATCCCGCAGGGCCAATATGATCACTCGGAACGGTGCGTTCTTCAGGGAATCATTTGCCACCACCCATGCGCTTGACCTACACTACAGGTCACCCACGGAAAAAGAATGAAAAATGCGCCACCTGCGTGGGGACACTTGCAGAGAGAGAACAAGAGAGAGAGAGAGAGAGAGCGAGAGAGCGAGAGAGCGAGAGAGCGAGAGAGCGAGTGCGAGAGCGAGTCTTGTTTCCCCTGGGTGGCAATGCATCTCCGAAACCATTGGCACATCCCCGAGCCACCTGCCCTGCCTGTGCCTGAAGCTTGGCAAACTGTTGGGCCGCCCGGCTGCGATGAGAGTCACTGATTGGGTCGTGCCCTTCAGGAACTTCGAGTTCTTGCAGGAAGGTGTCAGGACTTCCCATCTCAGTCTTCAGGACCACCTGCCAATCCATCGAGGACAGTTCTTGAGACTTTCGGATGGGACGTCGCGCGGGTCGCGCGTCGCGCGTCGCGAGTGGGCCAAAAACCCAAACAAAAACACCGGAGCAGCCCGGGTGCATGGCGCAGTCAGGTGCGTCCGAGAACCTGCGCCCTTTCCACCGAAACTGGGGATTGAACGCAGGGCACGAAATCAAAACGGATATTAATATATATATATATAGAAGACAGAGGGTAACCTTTACAAAACGGATATCCAGGGCATTTACTGGATGATTGAACGGGCATTTACAAAACGCGGGGTGGTGTTGCCATGTTCTTGCTCAACCACCTGCTTTGGATCCGATCATCTCACTTCCCCCGTCCGATCCGCCGGCTCCCGTCCGATGGTGCAGACCGCCTGCGCAAAGTTGAGGACCACCTGTGGCCATCTCACATGGCCATCTCACTGTCAGCATGGGTCTGCAGTACGGAAGGAGAAATCCCTAAGGATCTGAGAAGACCAAAATATAATCTAGTCTAAAACTATCTAGAATACTAAAACCCGTTGGTTGAGCAGTCTCCTTCTTAAACTGCACGCCCATAGAACAATAGAAACTCTGGTAGCCTCTTGGGTGCCAGTCGCTGCCCGGCACCTGTGACACGTTCCTGAAATACTCTTCTACTCTCACTGAAGCGAACGAATGCGGCTAATGCAGGAGAACGGCGGAGTGCTCGAAAACAGTTGCTTTCACGGGAGCCGCTCAAATGTGACGAAACTTGAAGGAGCTCCGTGAGATAGGAACAATACGAAGGGTCGGACAAGGTTACCCTCCCCACACTGGCTACAGAACCCCTCTAACACAAAAAGCATCTTTGTGGAGGGGCAGGTTGCAAGTTGCATAGCCGCATTCCGTGCCCTCCCATTGGCCCATTGGCCAGCTCAGCCTGAACAGCACATTGCTCCTGGCGCTCCGCCATTAGGCTAACCAGCAGCTGCTCGTCGTTCGGTGACAGCGGATAATCGGAGGCGATCTGATTGGCCACCTGGCACGTGAGACACAAGGGTCCTCCAATCGAAGGGAGTTGCCGTTTAGAACACAAGGGAGAAGAGAGGGCAGAAGAGAAACTGACGGGTCTTGCCCTCCCTCCCTCGCTACTTGCCTACTGACGTACCGCCCTACCGCCCTCTTCCCTCCCTCCGCCCTCCCTCTGCCCTCCTCTTTTTTTCACTTTTCTCTTTTCTCCTGTCGCATCTCTATGTTTGCTAGTCTGTGGACTCGTCAATGCGATACCAGCTAGGCAGGTAGGCTACCTTCTCGCCCACCTCTTCTTCTTCTTCTTCTTCCTCTTCCTCTTCCTCTTCCTCTTCCTCTTCCTCTTCCTCTTCCTCTTCCTCTTCCTCTTCCTCTTGCTCTCTCTCTCTCTCTTTCTATCTCTATTTCTATCTCTGTCTCTATCTCAATGCTCTATCTCTATCTCTACCTCTATCTCTCTCTCTCTCTCTCCCTCCCTCTCTCTCTCTCTCTCTCCCTCTCTCTCTCGCTCTATCCATCCATCCATCGATCGATCGATCGATCTATCTATCTATCTGTCTGTCTGTCTGTCTGTCTGTCTGTCTGTCTATCTATCTATCTATCTATCTATCTCTCTCTCTCTCTCTGTCCCTCTGCCCCTAAATCTAACTCTCCCATATCTCTCTTCCTCCTTTCCTCTTTTCCTCTCTCCCTTTGCTCCTTTGCTTTTCTTCAAAGGGTGTCGGGTGTGCCCCACCTGGAGGTGCTCCCAAGTCACCATACCACAGCTGCTCCCGCGGCACCATAGCCCAAACAGAAAATCCACCGCCCGCGGAGATGAGCCCCTCATTGGCAGATCTGGCAACACCTGACTCAAAGAAGCACCATTCAACACTGTGCAAACAGTGGGTGTTGGAGGCATCCATGCGAATGTTTGCTACTGCCTACCATCAACGAGAACCTTCATCAGATGTTTTTCTGTTCGTTTCTGCCGCGCGTCGGTCCACCGGGATCCCCCCCAAGCCGTCGCGGTGGATGGGAACCGGTTCCGCGGAGCTTTCGGACGGGACCACTCAATGCCCTCCAAAACCAGCAGAAAGGATGAATGAACCATGGCTCTGGTTGCCGCAGGATGGATGGTCCATCGGTCCATCCAGAGAAGAGGCCGATGGAAGCACAAAACATCATCCAACAACGCTTGTAATTGGGGCGGTGGGGAGCATCTTTGTTCCCTTTTTGTCCGCTCCTCCGCCCTGCCTGGCGGAACCACTCCTGTGCCGCTGCGGGCACCTCCGAACGCAGTGCCTTGACCACACGCACTGCCAAGGCGTCAACGTCCATGGGCGCCGCTTCTCGAGCATCTTGCAGCTCAACGGCCAGTCTGCACCAGGAGGGTGCCAGATCGCGCAACTGCCCCGGGCGCCTGCGGTAAGAGTGAATGCTGAATGAAGACCAGGGAGTGGACACAGAATAAGACATGGGTTACGGGGGGGGTTATGAACTTATTGATGTTTTCTGGTTTATATGGATTTGTCCTCCTACAGTGTGGGGGCACACTGCCACCTCCCGACGCAATGCGAACATGAGGAGTCCGGAGTATAGATGCTGGACTTACAAGGTTTGACGTTCCCGCACATACCACCCATCTCATCTCGCGGGTGGAACGGCCTGCGTCACAAAAGGACGATTGAAGTCAACCCCCAATTTGGGGGCTCGGAATCAGACCCCCAAACCAGGCCATGTTTGCGGCTCTTGTGACTCTTGTGGTAAAACGCGCGCTGCCGACGCGAGTCGTTCCAGGCACGAGATGAGATGGCTACACGCCCGGGAACGTCAAACGTTGCAAGTCACGGCGTCACACGTCGCCTCATGTTCCCTAGAGTCGCGTTCAAACCAATGGGTTGAAAGACTCAATGTTCGAGCTACATGGGTGTACTAAGCTTGGACGACTACTCTTTCTTTTGCCGTCGAAAAAGGTCCCAAACTGCCTAGACTTGTCAACGATGATTGATGCTCTTTGAGGAGCTACCACTCGCAAGTCTGCAGCGTCAGTTTTTCGAAGTACAGTACCGTTTTCTGGGACTACCAAGTCTTCACCCCCATGCCTACATCACCATGTGTCGTATTTTCATCCATGAAGGAGCTCCTGCAATCATCTTGGTATGTCAGGAAAGGCAACAAAAACCTTTCCGAATATCTCAAGCATTTAACACTCTTTAGTTTGCAAACCTTTCATCTCCTCGCATCCTTGCCCGCCTGACGCAATGCCAGGCCAGCTCCAACACCGGACCCTCCAAGGTGTCCCAGATCTGCCGGGCCCGCACTGGGAGACTTTTGGGGTCTCCAGTCCGATGCATCTCAAGCTCCATACGATACCTCGAGAGGCGGCGCGGCCGGCGCTCGATGCGATGCTTCTCGGCAGAAGCTGAGGATCCAGTAGAATCACAAACGATGATCGGTGCAGTACATGGCAACATATGGCAACTATAAACTATCCTTTAAAAGGCATTTCTGCCTGATTCCGGACTCTGGGGCTCCTGATTTGTCAAATGAATACTTTCTTGGAGACGGTAAGCCACTTTGTCCTGTACTGGTTGGATGGGTGGTACTTTGTGTCTTTAATTGAATGAAAGGGTATCACAAGTAGATAAAGTCTTCTCTCTGCATAAACCTGGAACTACCCCCTTAGAATTAGAATGATCTTATGTAGGCGTCCTCTACCTTCCAAGGCTGTTCCAACGTGATTTACTTGGGGATGGAATGCGGCGCCCGCTTCTGGCAGAGATGCCCAGTGCATATGGCCTCCAGGACCTGCCATGCCAGCCACTGGCATTCGGGTCGGATCAAGTCCTGCAAATATTTTGCGGCCTTGCGGATGTCAGCAATGAAGCCCAATCGTTGATCCAAGCGCTGGTCAAGGCGGGCCTGGCTTAGATCTGCCTCCTCTTCCAGGAGTACAGCCAAGTCCTTTCAAGGATTTGGTTTTGTCTGCATTTCCAACCCAGCTCCAATTGCTCCTCCACTAGTGTCAAGTTGGAGCCAATAGTTCAACAGAAAACCAACTCTTGCGGCTCTGATTGGGGGACTTGGGGAAAATTGAACACCAGTAGCGACACCCTTGCCAACACCTACTGCGTGGCTGCAACAGACAAACTCTGGAACTAAATGAAATCATCTTCAACAAGTACCCTTCAAAGAGGGAAAAGAAACACACTGGATGATCGTAGAATCATAAAGGCAGCCACCCCTTCTTCAGGAAGTCCTTCAACTTCTTCACCTTCTTCCGAATCTCATTAATCTGAATCCGCTGCATGAGATCATCTGGAAGCCGATCCAGCTGCTCAACCAGCTGCTGCAAACGCATCGAGTCAGCCTGTCACGTGCGTTGATGCGCAGGTGGCTTCTCATGTCATTTGATTCAAAAACGTTATAAAAGGGCTGGTTGAAAGTGGGTTGGGCATTCTTGAACCAATTTCCCAAGAATGACGTTCCCCAATTCCACGCCTTCTGCCTTTGACCCAAGTCACCAAGCTCCTGCTTCACCCGCCACAAGCCATACCACGTCCCTGCCGTGCTCACCAGCGAGGTCACCAGGTTTACCACTGGCAGGCTCAGTGGCATTGCAGGCGCCACCATGCGGGCAATGCTAGGATCCGACAGAGCGGTTGACGGTGGAGCGAATTGCTCCTGGGATAGTGAACAAAACAGCCCAATGTCCAGACTTCTCAGGTGGGCGGGGCAAACGGGGCATGTGTTCAGGTAGGGCATGCTGTTGATTCATCCGGTGTCCAAGGAGGGAGAACGAAAGAAGTCTTTTGATGAGAAATTCTTGAAGTGATCCCGCCTTGAGCTTCCAGAGCTGCGCCTTCAGAGCTCCAAAGTTCTTCAGAAGCTCAAAGATCAACTTCTCAGGGCCATCGATGCCATCTATGTTTTCCAAGTTCGCTTCATAGGCGCTCAGGAGGTGTGGAGCTAAGGCCTCCTCCAAAGCTTTTGAGAGGCTGGGAAAACTCATCCTCCAGTGTTCACCGCTCTGGTGGTAGGCACATGCGGTTAATAGATGGGAGGCAGCCCAAGAGAAGCGTTCGAAAACACTGGTCTCCAGCTGGGTAGCCTCGACGACATGCACATACTCCTTGGCGGGGTTGCGTCATGCTGCTGACATAAGACCAACTTTCGCTAGGTGAGTCTTACTTCCAAATGGGAAGAGTGCAAACCCCCAACACTCCTCAACAGCTGCACCTTGCTGAATCTCTCGCCAGAGTTGGTAGACACTCTTCATGTACAGCACGCCTTGTCGTTCATCCTCACCAAGCAGCCCGTCAAGCCAGCCAGTGGGTGAAGGGAGCCAGGGCACCAAATCCCACCTGTGAAGTCACACAACTTTGTTGTGTTCTGGCCAAGTCTGTCTCCAATCAACAACAAAAAGCCCGAAACATTCAGAAGTCATGGGCGTAGCTGCGTAGCTCATCGATCCAACACTCGCAGAAAAGCCGGGCGGCTTGTTGACGAAGCGAGCAGTGTGAGGAACCCACGCAAGATAGTGCGTGCGGAACGCTTCGTCTCCCACCTGATGCAGGTCTTGAGCCCGTCCAATGGCATCGAATGCGCGCGTACGAACTCCGCCGAGCCCCCTAAGGCCAGCCAACGAACTAACGAACTGAACGCAGGTTGCTCTGGCTGCAAGAGTGTGTGTATGCGTGGCTGGCCGACGTTCACTGGAGTTCCCACCACCCCATGTGCTACAAAGTTGGGATTAGAAATTGGTCGGGACACGGCGTGGCCACTGTTCAAGCAAAACAGGCAAAGGGTGACACATTTTCGGCCAAGACTACATGTCTGGACTCCAAATGGTCCAAATATGTTGCCCATGTTCCATTTATGCGAGTGCCAATTACCCAAGCACAATACTTTTGGATGTCACCACTTCGCGAGTGCACCACACCCTGGCCCCTCCTTAGTCCTTGCACCTGAAGTTCTTCCACCAGCTCCCCCCACCGCTTTCATCCGGCCTGTGGCGAACCCCATGTCACACAGGTCACTGGGCTCGCTCGCCCTGGCTCGCCAAACGTCTGTGCCAACTTGACAGCCAACAGGGTCGCGAGCGCGGCCCCCAAGCTGTGGCCTCGTGCCGACACAGCAGAGTTCGGCTCACTAGATTTTTGACTATATAATATAGTCAAATAAATCTACGTACTATATATATATACATCTGATAAGACACCCCCGTTAGTTGGGCCTTTTCCCACGGGATTCTCACCTTACTATTGTCCTTCCATTTTTGGATCAAGCCCTTATGAACTGCCCCGGACCCATTCGCGGCAGCCTGTGATGTGGAAGAGCACCTCATCATCTGCCTCCTGAAAAATATTTGCAGCATAACCGCACAACTTCGGGCTATGTAGCTACTGAAGTTGACCTTCTTGTGGCCAGGGATTGAACCTTCAGCACGGTGCTTCGTTTTGAGCTATACACCTTCCTGGCGGTATATCTGTGCCTCCGCTCTCGCATGCTCTCGCCCCCCACTGCCAACCAGCGGGAAACTGATTTAAACAGAAAGTCTGATGCTCTAACTCATCTCCTTGATCTCCTCCAGTTTCTTCAGCAAACGAGGCCACAAGGCCTCCAAACTTCTCGAAAAATCACGGTCTGACCATTCAGCACTCATATATAAATTTGGTTGTGTTGGTTTGACCAGGAAATTCTCTAGTGGAAGATGGTAGAAGGAAACTCCTGGAAATGCCTGTCCTGCATGCTGCAGTCGTTGTGGAGGAAGCAGAACAAGATCTTCAATTGATTGGCCGCTTCGAAGGCAGCCCCCATATTACATCATATTAAGATTATTTTTGTATTACATCCTATAGTGTTCAACCGTGAAGGTGAAATGCTCTCCAAGCACAGGAAGACAAGAATCGGTGACTCGTGCAAATCAACCACCACTGCATTGAACCCATGTGATGTAGAAATGCGAGCCAAAATGATTTAATCGAAAGGACTGTCAACGGTGTCAACAACTGAACAGAACTCTGATGAATAAAACTAAAACAGCCCCAAAGATCCAGAAGCACCCCCAGACATGGCCTCAAAGGCTTCCCAAAAGCCACGGTGCACCCGACCGGTCAGCCCGTTGCGGCACGTGATCAGCCCAAACTTGAAGTCGGCCACTGCTTCTCGAACGTTGCTGGTGCCACGACAAGCTAACCAAACCTCCAGTCATGCTTCAGAGCTGGTCGACACGGGGCGGGTGGCGACACACTAGGACTAGGACCAGGATGGGAGATCAAACACATTGAAACACAAGGCTCAAAAGGCATGGAAAACCAGCAGGCACACTCCACAAAAAGTGGATCCTATTGGCTCCTAGTGGTACCATGTGGCACCAGAGCTCACCAGCTCGGCCTCCAAGCGTCGGCCCCTTCGGCAGCACCGGCTCAAGCTTCGGAAGCCGTCCACGCAGAGCTCCCAGGTCGTGGGCGTCGCCAACTGGCCTGAGCTCAAACAGGCCTCTTCGGCAGGTCAGGCCGTTGAAAATGGATAGAATGGACAGGCGCAAAATGGGACAAACACTTGGAAGTGAAGAAGAATCCCAACATGTTAAAAGGCCCCGTGAGCAGGTCCCATAGGTCCCAAGCGTTGTTTTTGTCCCGAAGGATTGAAAATCGAACTCGCTCATTGGCGACTGAGACCCCAAAGCTCGATAGCACGGGGGGACCTCATATCTTTTTTGGAGGCTCCTGAGACTCCAAGGACTCCAATATAGGTGCGAGTTGATGGCACATGCCTCCTTCCAATCCATCCACCACAATGTCACAATGTTCGCAATTCACCGGTATATAGTTCTATAGAATGCCCCTGTGAACCTGGCGATGGAAGGATACAGACCTCGTGACCGCGGGGTCTTCCACTGCCACCTGCTCTTCGCCCAGGGATTGTCCAAACAGCCTTGAATAGATCGTCTGGAGGGTTTTAGGGTACCACGTGTGTTTGCAGCGATGGAAGGCCAGGTCACTGTCGTAGGCCTCCTGGGCCATGTGCAAATACTGGAGGCACTCGTGGCGCCTCTCAGGCTTCATGAGCTCTGCCCCAAAGCTGCAGGGCACCGGGCGCACAGTCATCACCTCCGACTGCTCCATGGCACGGAGCTCCTGAGAGTGGAAGTTCTTCGGGCAAAGCCACCCAGCGGATGGGCATGCGACACGGGACAGAGAAATCCAGTGTTTGCAGCGAGGCCGGAGGTGTGAGGAGAGCTCTTCCGTCAACCAATATCAATATATAGCATGTATCAGAAAACCCGGAGTTTGATCCAAGAAGTGGACTCAAAAAATGAAAGAAGCAGGGAGCAGGGCACAACTCACCGTCTGTCCGTTAGATTGTCCAAATGGCTTTGAACACTTAGAATTGAACAACCTTCGACTCGTCCAAACAAACCAAACATCTCCCCCACCTCTTCTTCCTCCCACTTCACCAGCAGCAACTCTGAATCCACCTGGGACACCAATGTGCCCCTCAGCTTCCTGTCCACGCTCATTACCTTGAAACCAGCTGCTGCGAGAGAATTCTGTGAGGCAAGCAGCTTCAGCTGCTTCAAGACCTCCTGCGAGGGTTTTGGGTTTCGAACCGCTTGGCCCGTATTCGCACCGCTGGTTATCAACATAGATATGAAGAATGGAACGAAAGGGTCTATGGTGATGACGAGGGTTATGTACACCAAGTAGGTCAGGGACCAGGGACTAGGTTTTGTACGGCTCCAACATCCAACTACAAAAGGATATGGGAGGCTTGATTCTGATTGTACAGCCCATCTCATTCCGTGGGACATGGGTTACTATGCAAGGATAGGGATAAGGGAACTCCTGATACCATTTGGGAACGTTAGACTCCAGGAAATTCCTGGGCTCGTGGTTGATCTGATTTAGGATTTTCTGTGGAGTCTGACCCGCGATGGGTGCAGTGTGGAGTGCACTACCATTTCCTCAGACATCCCGCGCGACCCCAGAGATGAAGACCAACGGATGGAGCGTGGTCTTCGGCTTGGCTGCTTCTCAAGAACTGGCGCTTGGTAGGGAATGAAGGAAGTCCCCCCCCGCCACTAGAAATTCCTCTGGGTCCACCCACCCTCATTCAATGCACGCGTGTTTCCAATTTAGTCTTTTGAAACTCAGTTCTCTAAGCATTCATGTTTGCAGTCTACTTGTATATGTCTCCTATGATCTCCTATGTCTACCTCAGCGGGCCGCAGGAGCTCCTTAGCGATCTGCTCCAGAGCGTAGAGCTCATGCTCGTGCTCATCCTTCAGCCTTGGGTTGCAGGGGTGCAAATTGGACTGCAAACTTCTATTACCCGACGGCTTCTTTGGACTTCCTCTGCTTGAAAGGATGCGTACCGCGTACATAAATAATCATAAATAAATATGCTTTGTTCTGCACATCTAGTCTTTGGGTGCGCAGGCCTGTACCCAAGCTAGAAAGCCCCGAACACAAACGGAAGGTTATGAAGTAGCAGGGCATGACATGGCATAACAGCATATAAACTCAAGAATCCTACGTGCAATCAGCAATGTGGCAACTCAAGTGTGCTCACCCATTCTATGCTGCTAGATGGGTTTGTGCTGAATGATGCCTCAGTGCGACATCTCTGTGCCATGTTCTTCAAAACTGGTCAAGCAACCGCACAATCACAACCTCATTGGCGTGGCCTTTCAACCAGCCCTCAGGCTCAAACGCCAGCTGCCCATGCCTCGCCAAGGTCACGGCGGTTTCGAGATCCTTCAGAGACCGATGCAAAGGCAAGTCAAAGGGTTCCATGAAGTTCGCCAGTAGCAAAGCCATGGCATGCTTAAGCTGCACTGGACCCAGTTTCATCACCTTCTGCCGATCCAGCTCCACCTGCATCACTAAGCCTCACAACTTTGTACGCAGTTCGTTTTCATCCGCCTTTCCCTCAAAGGTGAGCAAACGTCCTGCGATCCCTGATCACATGCTTCGGGATAACGTGTGGAGGGTTTCGGAAATCAAGATGCTCCAAATCTCCAATCTACAACTCCTCCGCGCAGAGCGCAATTTCGTGATCCTCTCGGGACAAATTTTGCACACCATATGAGGGTTGAGGGTCTAAGCATCGTAGGTGTTCCCTTGTTTCTCATTTGGCCTTTCACCCGAGCACCATCATGCCCAGCCACTACGTTCACCGTCCGGGCGGTGGAGATCGCGACTCAAATGCCGCAGCCCGAGATACCGCAACTGCGAGCCGGATCTCCAAGCCGCCAGGCCTCCTGACATGGTGGAAGGCTAAGCCATGGAACATGCTCACAGATATGCACATAGAATGCAGAAGCCCAAAGGAAAGCGCTGGTTTCTCGGGTGATGTCACTGATGCCGTCCAATCATTGAAGAAATGCCACACAAGAGCTACCCTTCCAGGGTGCTCGGTTCCGACCTATACCAGGTAGTAAGCTCCATAAAAATAGTCAATAAGAGGATACCGAAAGTCGGTCCTATGACTAGGTTGGAGTGGGAAAGAAAATGTACAGCAGCATCCGGCAATAGCAGTCGCGTTCCCACTGCAGAATGGTATCAGCGCCCCATATTTCGGGAGCATTTCGCCAAGCACAGGGTGTGGTGGGTGGGAAGAAAAATGAAAAAGGACCTTCTGCAGAGTCGCTGCGTCCTTTTCTTGTGAGAGAGACACCCACACATCAAATAATTCCTTCATCACCGACCCTGCCTACCTTAAATGATTATGGATTCGATCGCAGAGACTGCAGAGACATGCGGAAACAAACATGCAACATCAAGCTGAGTCCTGACCAGTGATCATCGTAGCGCCATGCCACTCGCAACATCGCTCCGCAACGCTCCGCTAAGGTCACCCTTGAGCCCGGTGGATGGCCGCGAACGAGCGGAGATCAACGACGAACAAACGCTGGATCCGACGGACCTCCCATCGCGACCCCACTCCACACCGCAGGATAGTTGGAGATGCTTTTTTTGGAGGGTCCAACTACCTCCTTGGGCTGTCCAAAAACCTCCTTGGGCTGCAAGTGGATCCACCCACTCCAAGTGGATGGGTATCCCAAATGAAGGCCTTCTGGGGCTTGTTTGGACATGGTCCGACGGGGCGTTGCGCCGACGGAGGTCCAAGCAACCTGAAAAACACGCACTTTAGTGTGGGCAAACCATCCTTCCTATCTATCGCCTTGGGGGTTGGGGGTCGCAGCTGCTGAGATGAGGAAAGTTGGTGCGAACAGCTGATGCAACGATACCCGGACCTTGAAAGTCTCTTTCATCCACATCTATTTTGCATAAACATGCCATACACAGCTTTTCGCTTTCACATCTTTCACCACCCAAAAGTTATATTAATTATAAACTAAAAACGCGAGGCTTCGACACACCGCCCCCCAAAAAAAAGAACGGGACCGGGACTCCCGAAAAGGAGGGACTCCGAGACCCTCGAATGTCCAATTTGCTCCTTGCTGACGCCCGAGTTCACAAAGGCCTCTTGGCCTTGGCCGATGCGGCGTTACCGAGCAGAGAGAAAACCGAACACCGATCCGTGACGGGACGGACTCCTGTCGAGCGTGGATGGCTTTTTCTCCCAAAAGGTGGCAACATGGATGGTCCAACATCTCCGGTGGAGTGTCGTTAAATCAAACGATGTCACTCCTGGAAATTGGGGTCCCTAACTCCCTAACACTGCCTCTTCTTTCGGTGCACACTGCTTCAAACCCCCCTTCCAAGGCCGGCGTCGCTGAGGGACCCTGACTCTGCGACGATGGCACCTGGCTCCGCTCCGGAAAACCAACGGCTCCGACGGACCTGCTGTGGGGTAGCGCGGCAGTGCTCCCCAGGCCACTGGAGTCCACAAGTGTCTTCTCCTGACTGTCAATTTTCGTGGGTCATAGCGGGTCAATCGGTGGTTCCAAGCATCCAGAGGTTTGTTGTTGTTTGACCTCGGGTTCTGTCAGGTCTACAGGTCGGTGGTCTACTGGTTCACTTCAAGGGTGCAGAACCCTCAGAAGTGCCAGGTGAACACGGTCACGGAATCCGGGCATCCGGAGAATTTGCAGCACCCCTGCCCCAGACTCTGGGGCTTTCAGACCCAAATGGAGTCAAAGTGGCTGCACTGCCTGGGCACCACTGGGCCGCATGTTCACACAGGCGTTTTTGAAGTGATGCCTCGTGCTACTAGTAGCTTCTTGCTACTATATAGTAGTATTGGCCTCCACCCTAGTAGCGATGGCCTCCACCTAAGAGCGATGGCCTCCAGGGTTTGGACCAGGTGGGCGCTGAAAACACTAAGATCAAACCAGCGCTTGGTCCATGCCTCCCTGTCAACGAATCCAACAGCATGAGCATGTATCCAGAAGCTAGAATAATGCTAGTGCCTGGCATAATCCCAAAAAATAAAGACTGCTGCAGGTCGTCGGTGCAATGTTTCGGAGACTAGTGTGTGGCGGGTGTGGAATGACCAATGCGTTACATGGAGGGAAAGTGAAGGAAACAGTCCTTTCTTCGGTGCGTACTGTACAGTATTTTTCGCAACCGAGCGACATGGCTGAAGCAGGCCAACATGGTTTGACGTCCGGGCTAGGACTCAAACACTGAGAAGGTGAGGCCCGGCCGGAAAGACCCAAAAATCACACTTCACAACCATTGGGCGTGGGCAGGGTTCAGGGCGCAGCTGTGGCTCGGAAAGTTTAAAACATCAACAGTAGACTTCGCAACTGCCGGAAAAGTTGCATGTTACTATAGAGACCCAAGTGGACGGCACGAACTTGATTCAACCACAGATCCCCCCTATATTCCTATATGAGTGCCAGCACTAGCAACTCAGCAAACCGTCCTGGCTGGAGGCTGGAGAAAAGCTGACCCTCACCGACTATTCCCACGCATTCCGAGAGGTCTTTGGGTGCCCCAGCTCTGATGCGCCCTCCTCCAATCGGTCCACCCTCAGATGCCGTCTCGAAAAGGACAGAGTCTACGAGAGGATTCAGATGTAGGCCATAAAACGAAAAGGAAACATCAGAAACAACTTGGGGAATGAAAAGGCCATGGAAATCAAACACAACAAAACAAACAAAACAAAAACGTAACAAAAGCAACTTTCCTTGGAAGTCGTCTCTTCGAATCCGAATCTTTAGGGGCTCGAAAAGTCGGGGGCCACTCCAAGGGCTTAGCTCGACCATGCTGCGACTGATGAGGATCAACCTGGACGGTGGCAAGTGTGAGCTGCGTGTGGATTGACTTACAGTGGTTTAAGAGTAAGTGAGGGTCCATATTCACCACCGACCTTGGGGATTGTGCCATCTACTCTCACTTCACTATAGCTGATCAAAGGCGATGTATGGTGGGATGACCTGGATGCAATGATACACCTCAAGAGAGGCCCCTGCTACACTGGCAAGCGGTGAGCACAGCAGTCCTGGGAGATTGAAAGACTGGCACTGAAAAAATACGTCGTATCTGTAGGCAACAGGTAATGACCCAAACCCCCCGAGTTTACCGAAACTGTGATTCCTGGGTTCTCTAAGTTTCACAAACTGGAGAAAACGGCAAATGTCTGCTTGGATCTCTCTGGTTCACTGAGAACAGCACCCATTCCGTCCAGCAGGGCCCTGGCAGGACCAGGCACGATCGGCTGGGGTGAGAAGCGTAAGGGCAAAGGCCTCAATCCAAATCGAATGGGCATAGCTGTGCAAGAAAAAGGCGTGATCTTTTGTTGGCACCTTGGTTAGCACATGGAGATGAAGGCTCTAGATCAGCTTCAAGGTTTCGGATGAAGGCACATACATGATCTGTGGCCACATTCACCTGCACATGGCTTGAAACTGCAAGGAACTGCGGATTCTCCACCGCTTAGTCGCTATTTGTTGAGATGGGCCTGTGTAATTTCAAGGTAGGTACGGTGGGACAACTTTGGATCCGTTTCAACTATAGTACCTTTCGCGCTCCTCTCGTGGCAAACAAGCCACAGAAGAAGAGCAGCCGCCCACAACGAGCCGCACTTTTGCTGCGCTCGCCCTGCGGGTGAAACAGGCTTCGGGCTTAGCGCCGGAAGGGTCTCATAGCCCAGGCCTGGCGGTGTGGGGGGACCCTCTGAGAGCGCCGGGCTGGGCGGAGGGGATGATGGCACCACTGTGTCTATCCCGTTTCGTCGCGTGGCCGCGTGGATGTGAAGTTGCGGCACACAGCTCCTTGGGTGGGAACGACCCAAACCCCGGCTGCAAGGCGTTGCTAGGGGAGCTGACCAGATCCGCAAGCATCCCCCTTCTGCTTGTGTAAAGGAGGCACGGTATATGTATGAAAAGCACATTGAGACCCCAAAAGAAAGAGATGTTAGAAAGCTCCTTCATTCAATTGGTCAAATCTCCCCTTTTGATTGATGATTGAACTCATGTCACCCGCAGCTCCGGCATCCCACACCTGGTCCTGGTCCGACAGGATCGCTACACCTTAGGTTGCTGAAGAGCGTGAGTTGGGGATTTGCCCATTCCAAGGCCTGATCGGGATTGAGCCTGGCGAGTTCCGATGGTTTCGTGTATTGTTGGCAACCTTCCAAGGAGCAACGTATTGGCAACATGCAATTAGGCGAAATCGTGCATCTGGCTGACTGCTACAACTGCCCGACAAAGGACCCACCAACTAAACCAAACAGAATACCAATGACTACTGTATCCAATCTCAGCTATAACACTAATAGAAGAACGCATCATCCAAAAGTCCTCACCGGGGCGGGCCGTTCCGGGCCGCTCGGATGGAGCGGGCGCTCCAGGTCTCTCCAGACCGCTCCACCCGCTCGCTCAAGGCCGCCAAGGCTCCAAAGGCGCCTTGGAGCACCGCGCTCTTCGCGAAGGGCGCACCCGTCATCAAACGTCCACCGGGGAAGGAATAGACCTGGCACCGGCATCGGCCGAGCACGCAAAAAGGCCACCAAGACCAGAAGGTTGGAAGGTACGCTCCCAACTGCTAAGCAGTACCACCAGCTGGGGTACGAAGATGCGGGTACGCAGATCGATGGGCAGATCTCACCGCTGCGAGACAGCTCAAGTTGTTCAAATTACCAACTGCGCGCTTCCGAGAGAGGAAAAGACGAGAAGTGAAGAAAAAGTCAGCGGCCGAGACCGTCGATGGGCGAATGATTCCAATCCTTTAACCGCTTTAGCCATGACCCACACCTCCTGAAGCACATCCAATAAGTGATCAGGCTTGTCAGGTGTCTGATCTTGCAAAGTATTGCGGATGACCTTCCGCTTGCCTTTCGGTTTCGGCTTGGACTCCTACAACCCCCGCAGGGTGGAACTTCTTTCACTACACAGATCTTACAAAGGCCGTCGGCCCGATCTACCTGCTGAGGAAGTTGGGAAATCTCCGGGCGAATTAGACTATATAGGGCATACCAAGGGCCAAGAGAAAGGCCCAAAGCCATCAAAGCCATTGAATTGGATCATGGTGATGCTGAAAACCATCCTGAGCCAGCGATTGAGGACCAGTTGAATTCATTCAATTCATCATCCTGACCGAGCCGGGATAGCGCTCAAGCTCCCTCCCTTGGGAACCCGACCACGCCAGCAGCCTGGACCCGGCCGCATGGAATCGACATCCAGTGCTCGAAAAGCTGGGCCACATCGGAGTTTGCTCTAACCAGGGGGAAGGGGTGCCATATGGGAACCACAACTGCTTTCATGAGCACAAGCACCGTATCGGTTGGTCATTAGATGATTTATGCAAAGGGCTTGGATGATTGATGATCCAATCGGCATCCGGCTTGGCAGAATCAGCTACAGTAAATCTCAAAAGTGGATGTGAAGCAGGTGAACTGTTTGCAACTTGAGAGGCTTTT